TACTGTCGCACTCGTTTAAACTGTTTCCGGTTGTTTACGCTTTCAGATATTTGTTTACAAACATCGCATACACTTCGACTCAACCTTTTTTTTCTCTGACAAGGATAATATATGAATTTTTCGAATTTCCTAAAATTTCGATAATCTAAATTTTTGAAATTTCGAATTTTGAAATTTCGCATTCTAGAATTTTTTAATTACTCAAAATTTCTGCATTTCTGAAATTTCTGAAAAATTTCAATTTTTTTGAATTTCAAAATTGTTGTTTCAGGATTTTTAGTTTACAGTAATTTTCGATTTTCTGAAATTCAGAATTCCAAAATTCCAGTTTTTCGCGAATTTAGAATTTCAGAGTCTCTGAATTTTCGAATTTCAGATTTTCCGATTCTCTGAATTCCGAGCGAGAGAGCCTGAAAATATATAGTGATACCGTAACACCTGTATTAGAAGAGCACCCTTCAATAGAAGGGCCCCTGTAATAGAAGGGCCCTCTGGACGTACACTGGGAAAAGTATTTCCAATCTTTGGTTTCAAATTTTGTAGAATTTCGAAAATTCGGAATTTTTCAAACATTTCCCATTTTCTGATTTTTCGAATTTTCAAAATTTCTAACATTTCCAAAAGTTTGGAATTTTCGAATTTTCAGATTTCTCGAATTTTTTTTGGAATTTCAGACATTCCAAATGTTCAAGAAATCCGAAATGTTCCAAATTTCAGAATTTATCTGAAATTTCAAGATTCCAAAGTTTCGAATATTCTAAAATTACTGGGATATCAAATTTTTCGAAGTTTTGAGGAATTTCAGAATTTTCGAAAATCTCCAAATTACGGATTTCTTCAAATTTCTGAAATTTTCAGAATTCAGAGTTTTGTGAATTTCGAATATACAAATTTTAGATGTTCTGAATTTGTCCAAATTTCATTTTTTGACATTTTTCATTTTTCTGAAATTCCCATTTTCTGAATTTTTGAATTTCTTCGAATTTCAAAATTGCCCATTTTTCCTATCTGAAATTCTCAAATTTTTTTGAATTTTCGAATTTCTGAAACTTTCAAATTTTCAGATTTTCAGAATAAGGTTTCCATTTCGGTCGGGCGAAAATCGCCGACCGCCTACCGACCCAGCCGACCGATTTCGTGCCTTTTGCGTACGAAGCACTTTATTTTACGACAAACGAGGCATTTCGTGAGTAGTTTGTCAGTAAGGCTTTCATTCGGTCGGGAAATTGAGCCGACCGACCGACCACCGACCCCGCCGACCGACAGCCGACCGAACTGACCGATCGGTCGTT